GTCCTTAATCGCCCTCAAGCGGCCAGCCCAGTTTTTGGTGGCCTTTCCATATAGCGTAGCACCGGCTAGCGGGTACTTTTTCCCTCTTTTTCCGGCCCCATACAATCGTGGTTCTATCAGGCCAGGGCCAGGGCTGAACTAGTGACGTCAACACTCACGCGCCACGGCCTCGCACGGCCAGCGAGGCAGCCCGAGGCCTGAGCGAGGACGCTTAAACGGGGCTACCCCGCTGCAGTGGAAATGTGCCATTGGGCTGCGGTCAATGACGGTAGCGCTGCTGCCTGCTGCTCTCACACACCCCACCTCCAACTTCAAGTTTTAGCCCCGCCCGGACATCTCTAAGTGGTTGACTAATCACAACAGAGCCATCCAGTTTACCAATCAGAGCAGACTGGTCTCTGGTTTCAGACAGAGGGTGAAAAGAGGTGCGGCAGCATAGGAAGTATTAGAAAAGAAAAAAAAGAGCTTTGTGAGCATTAAAACAGGTAAACATGTCACATTAGAGACACTAAATTGAAATATGAACCGGAACATGAGCAGTATTTGCTATCAATACTTACTGTTAGTCACTGGGGCTGTGCTGCTGGCTGCCGTGTTTTAATGTCAGCATAAAGCAGGACACAACACGTGTTCTAGAAAAGGTCTAGTGTTCCCTGATAGGATATCTATATTGCCTCAGATAATTCAGGCCACACTAAAAAATTCCGTCACACATTTGTCTAACTAATTTGCTTCTTATCAAATCTACTCGCTGCCATAGTCATGGCCTCCACGCCCTTAAAGATGGAGCGCAGCCAGAAACACACCTCAGTGCCTCATACCGCTTCGAGGAAACACGCTATTTCTACCAAGACGAATACTTCCCAAAAATGATATTTGAACTTCGGATGTTATGTATAATCAAGTTACTGTATTTATCAATCAGGAAACATGTAAAACAGATAGGAGGGTTCTCATTTTTGTTTTTTATAAGCTCGCAGCCTTGTTTTGCAAGGTTTGTTCAGGAGTGGAGAGATTAGAGGAGAAGGGGAGAGAGTTACATAAAGGGTAAAGAAACCATTTCATGTTGTGCCTCCATGTGTCAGCTGACTGAGAATGAACTACAGAAGACATGCCCGGGCACACTCGTTTCTCCCTCATCATCACCTTCCTCGCTGCTCTGCCTGTACTCGGCGTCCTTTGTATCTGCAGCCTCAGGGTTTCACCAGGAAATAAAACACAGTGAGGGTGTGCCTTCCCGACAGTAGGAATCGCAGTGGTGATTATTTTGAGTACTTAGCAAAACCTTAGTGCCATTGTTAAAAAGTCCTTTCTCTGCCTTTGAGGATTTTTTTCCGAGGGCTAAGGGCTGATTTTATTGTTGTTTTTGTGACTGTAAGGCAAAGGTGAAGGTTTTCACTATTGCTGTTTAGGGCGTTTGTTCCCTGAGTCAAGCCTCTCAGGCAGCGTTCAAATCCCTTCTCCTTCACCCTACAAAGTTATTGTCTGTGGTCCAATAGAAAATAAATGTTTATTTACATGTTGGCCTTTGTCTTTCCGTTACCACTTTTACTTAAACTCACTTGAAAGAGGTCAAGGGAAGATGTGTTGGACAATTATATTAGGCTACGTAATTATGTAGATGTTATTGATGTATAAAGCTTTCAATTTTAACCCAGCAAGGAACTAAAGTGGGAAAAGTACTGCGGTGTGAACGCGCCTATTGTTAAGGCAGCAAGGAGCTAAAGGTTTCTCAAATGTGTTACTGGCTCAAAATCCACTTTTAAGTTTGTTTGCCTTGAAAATGTTGCTTATCCCAAAGTAATTATTGATTTTTCGTGCAGGTTTGAAGTGTTTTGAAAGCATTATATTTCCAAGTTAAGCTTTATTTATGATAGTATTTCTTATCTCTATATGTTTGGACTTTAGATCTCCAAGTTGAAATGTTGTTATCTTATAGTTTGTTCCTGGATGAGGGATTTGCTGAGAAGTTGCTTCCTGAAAGGCTGAATTCAGGGAATAAAAATCATGACTTCTGGCTGTTGTCTGATCTCTAAAGGAAGTGCATGTGTTCCTGCAATTAGTAAAGAATGCAATGAGATCTTTTGCAAGCATGATAACAGAAGTAGAATCTAAAGATTTGCGTTTATTAATTCCAATATTACTCAAATAAGTTCCCTCACTTCATCCACCCTTGTCATGCGCTGTGAAATAAGTGATAAAATAATAGTTTCAAAAAAGTTATTGTTCTAAAAGGCACCCACATCCTCAAATATAAATTATTAGGTTGACAATAGTTCCTCTGAATAGCTCGGAGCTTCTTTAAGAACTGTCTGTACGGAATTTTACGAGACAATATGTGCTATGGAAGCATTCAGGGAACATAGCTCAGATATTTATGACCTATAAATTGAGGGTCACATTGCTCTGTGGATGCAGGGAGATTCTAATCGTCCTCAGGTGAGAGAAACAGCAGTGTAGCCGTTCTAGATGATCCAGATTCCAGACTAATACGTGTATTTTAAGTACGTCAACGCTCTACTGCACTGATTGGGAATGAGGGAGGCGGGGGGGAAACTGTTGATGAAAAATCTTAACAAACCGGTCTGACAACACTGACTTTCTTCACAGCTGGAGGGAGGGGTGGTGGCTGCTGTGGTGTGTTTTTAATGTTGTGAGTTATTTCTCTACTGGATCTTTAAGGGTGTTTTCTTCTGTGTTTTTTGACTACAGGTTTCTTTAGTCAATGGGACTGCAAACGCTCCCTTTCTAGGGTGAGTGACCTAACACAACTAACAAAAACTCACACATTTTCCCCTTCAATTACACTTTGGTTGATGATGAATTAGAAGCGCTCAGCATTAATTCAGATGTTTTTATTTCTTCATTTGCAGGGGAGGGAATCCGTTTGCCACAGTGAAGCTGAGACCAACAGTCACGAATGACAGATCAGCACCACACGTCTAACACACACAAAATGAAAGAAAATGATTTTCACCGCTGTCATGCCTTCAGGGGAATCGTGCAACATGGGAGCCCTGCGACACACTGAATATCACCCCGACCCGACGTCTCAGCAGCCTGCATGCTAGTCTCTCTCAGCTCTATTAAATGGATCCATTGTTTCTTGGCGTGTGTTTGACTGTGCCAGTGTGCGTTTCACATTAGCAACAACACAAACACTGCAGAATGAGGAAGTCTGCAAAGCTTTGTAGTGTCGTTTTTTTGGAGTTAAAGTGATGATTCACCCCAAAGTGAAGCCAGAGTTTCTGCAGCTTATTGCTTTTAATGCATTGGCAGTTTGTACCTGCTGTGACTTCAGCTTTGATACAGAGTATAGACAGCAAACAGTACATTATGAAGCTGAGATGATGAGATATAATTGCACTGGATTACATGCAATGCATCATTTCCTATGGATGCTTCATGCATAAGGGAATCTGGATCCAGCCAGGGAACAGCAGACTACAGATAAAACCCACAACACTATGTAGAGAGGTAACAACTGGATGTAAATACGTTGGATGGCTATTGCAAGACTATAACGTTGCAATAATGGCATTTAATTTACTGAACATCTTTAGTATTTAAACTTTTAATTTAGGAAAACTAGCAAAACTTTAATCTCAAACTCTTCACAGAGTACTTAAAACAACTTTTAACAGATTACAAATCAAATATTAAAACTTAAACAGTTAACTTTTTTAACTTTCAAATTCTTCAGAAAGTTGACAGACATTTTACGCATTCATTTCAAGATTCAAGATAAAAAAATTCTATGGTTTTCACGTCATATGCACATAAGCTACAACGTGGAAATCTTGTGTCCCGAGATCAAGTAAACTGACGTTAGGATTGTAATACAAAGCTGAGATACTCTGTCTTCTGGCTAGACACCGATGGAGTTTCTACAGACATGCTAACAAGGAGATTAAAACCTGAATCTTCATTTTGGGGTGAACTGTCCCTTTAAGATGCAAACGAGATGCTCTCAGTGTCAGGAGGTCTTTCCAGGCTCCTGTGCTGCAGTCAGTGCAGTGATTTACATTAAGGGATCTGAAGGAGAGGATTAGCACCCAGGCTGCCTATACCTGACTTGCCAAAATATATACATACATTGTTATTTTATGTTTTTAATATAGTTATTTTTTGTCTTTCTTATGATGGACTGTGAGAATGAAGGGAGAGTTACGTGTTGGGGAAGAACAGGCAGAACAGTATGTCGCTGTTTGTAATGAGAAGGCTATTTATATAAGTTTGTATAAGATATTTAAATAAATAAACGTGTACAGAAATCCGTTCTGTTAAGGCGCCCCTTTAATATAATTTTAGATTGAATGCTGGTATGTATTTTAAATGACCTTTTGATGCAAGGACTATTTTTCCACTCCTCATGGTCTCACTGTTGTTTAAGATTCTGTGTAAAATGTGCAGTTTTATACAAAATACAAAATGTACCTATGGTAGACATTTGGATTGTATGAATAATGTGGGTCGTTAAAAAATCGTATTAACTGTTTTGTGATCTGCCATATAATATGTATAATGAGAAACTGAACAGTTAATTGATCCTCATTGACCCACTCGTGTGTGTAAGTGAACCCGTCGTAGTTATTGCCACATGCTTTCTTCAGAGAATACCTTGCCACTGTGTTGACAAATGTAATCTTTTTTTCTCAATAAAACAGATAGAAAATTCAACTGTGACTCCTGTTAAATGTTACTTTTTATTAAATGTCACTTCTGTTTTTTGATTTTGACTTTTTTTCCAGAATTTGACTTCTCTTTTTAAATCATTTTGTGACGTGCTCACTGAAGAAACTTGCAATGATTTGCCCCAGACTTCTGCTTTCAGACGTAGTTAATTATGAAGTTATTACCCTATCTAATAATAATCCAATGCAGAGGCAATAATGTAATATAATACATTATTTTATATATATATTTATATGTATTTTTATATAGTCTTAAAGTTACAACCGGCCCTTTGAGTGCAGCNTAACTGTTGTTCAGTTGGATCACTATGCTGCTGCTGGTCTCTCCATAGTGAGGAGAAGCTTCTGTTGTAAATATGAATGTCAGGATTTTTCAAAAACCCCAGTTGGATACGTATTATTTAATATTTCATTATAGTTGTGTGTGTGTGTGTGTGTGTGTGTGTGTGTGTGTGTGTGTGTGTGTGTGTGTGTGTGTGTGTGTGTGTGTGTGTGTGTGTGTGTGTGTGTGTGTGTCAGCTGTACCTTGCCCTGCAGGGAGACAGCCCACAGTGACAGCCGGCCTCTGGGCTCCTCGTTGATCTTCCATCCTCCACAGCTGATGTCGCTGAAAGGATCTGGGAGAGTCGTCTGCTGTGGGGGGATCTGTCAACACACACACAGGGAGATATAGAGGTTAACACACTGAAAGTTATACACACACTCTAATACAAAGACACAAACAGTTTGACCCACCTTGGCCCAGGTGTCCATGGATCTGTATCTCCTGTAGCGGAGCCATCGCCTGCGACGCACACAGGAGTTCCACTTCTTGTCTTTGGTGTAGTAGGCGGGAAAATCAATGGCGTAGGTCCATCCCTGCAGATACAAACAAATCCATCATTATAACAAGGATTAGAAAGACCTTACCATGCAACACTACTTCTCAAGACTGGTGAGCAACGATTCCTAACACCCAGACATTTGTTTGCATTTTACCACCTCTGGTTGTCTTGTATCAAAGTCAACGCTTAAAAAAAAAAAGTTTTTAGTGAGATGCCTGAAATACAGTCTATGGTTAACACAAGCTGAACAGATTTTCACGTTTTGTTCCAGGACTTAAAATACATCAGTAAATATCATGTCATGTGTGCATAGCTACAGTGTAGTTATGACAATGAAAACTTAGGTCACAGGCTCTAATGTCCAAAGCTTCTATGTGTCAAAAAACGAGTCTACTAAACATAATATAGCCAAACATTAGCTGCCTTTACCTTAGTGGTGGTGATATGAAGTCAGGTGACCGACATGTCATTCATTTATACGTTAGCTTTTACTCTTGAAGATTGCATTTAGGCTTCAACGATCACAAGGTGGTGTTAATATGGAAAACTATCTGCCAAACAAAACGTGTAACTATCCTCATTAGGTGTTTGCCATGGAGCTTATTTGATGCAATGCAGAATCCAATGGAAAATCTCTAAGGCTTTTCGTTAATAGAGCCCATGAATGCTAACTTCTGAGTTGTCCTACAAAGTTCACTGCACCACTCTATTAATATCATTTAGAAACAGACACTAAAGTAAGCAGATTACAGATGAGATAAAACAATAATTGGACACTCACCACTTTCTCTGTGGGCTCTCCCTCAAAGTTTTCATCCAAGTGCCAGTCGCCCTCCCACTCCCAGCTGTCGGAGGGAAGCAGGAAGCCGTCCAGAGGCTGGTGCTGCAGACCGGTGACATCACTCCACTGCCAGCGGTCGCTAGGCAACAAACGATCTGAGAAACTATCCACGGGATTCCAGCGCTGAGGGAAAGAAAGATGGACGAACGCGGATGTCATGTCGGAACACAAACGGGGTCAAAACCAACAGATTTAATGTTTGTTTAGCCAACACTGAAGTGCTATGAACCTGCATCCTTTCAAATGCTCAAGAAGTCTGATTGTGTAGAATCCGATCAGAAAATGACCCGGCTTCACACCTGATTCATTACCGAAGTAAAGTTTGACCTAATGAGCTAGTTTCAAATCCTCTTCAATACAACATGAGGTTCCTTTTTTACATTATGGTTCAATTTAGAGTGCAATAGATAGACGAACAAAGCAGGGTGTGCTTTAGGGACTGGCTACACTGTGTTTGACGTATCAAAAAGATGTCTGTCTTGGGTGTGAGAGTGTTTTTAGCTCATCAAATGTAGTTGTTACATTTTGGTCACCCTATAAATGTCACTCAGTTTTGCTCCAACCTATTGTATCATTTTCAGTTCCAGAAGAAACAAGATTGTGGCACTTTGTGAGGCTTTTAAAACAATTGATAACGTCTATGAAATCCCCCTGGTTCACCCCAATAACCTCTTTCCAATTTCACTGTGTTTGAACTGCCACAGAGCCACTTGTAAAGGGAAGTAGCTGAGTATTGACCTGATGCACGTGACCCGATAACTGTGGGACAACATGAAGGTCCAATGGGTGACCAATCATTTAAAAAGCAAAAATGAATCTCATGGGTGTTTTGTCTGCTATTTGAGATCAGCATGAAGTACACTTGTACTGTAAGAAGTACTTTAGTACACAGCTGTTTGTGGCAACAGAGGAAGTGGGACCCTTGTATGAGGATGTTGCACTATTTCAGTCATTCAATCGCACATAACACAACTCCAAGGGGAACTCCACATTTTCACTTATTTAGTGCAGGACGTGGATAGCCCAAGAAAAATTAAGCATTTTTTACTTGCATATTAAGAAAGTTTATTTATAACATTGACTCAAATGAACGTCCTTTTTGAACGTTTTAAATCAATTTTGAGGAGAGACCCACCTGGTTCTCGTAGGTCTCCTCCTGGTATCGAACGGGCAGGTCAGACGCGTGGAGGTTCAGGTAGATGTTGTTGTCGCAGGCGATGCCCCAGCAGCATTGCTGAGCGGCCGTCACGCGCTTGAACTCCATGTGAGCGTCGCGGCACTGCTCCCACAGCCCCCCCCCCGTGGAGAGGCTGTAGACCCGGCCGTACACATCCACCGCCCACAGCAGGGAGACGGGCATGGCTGCTCCGGAGACCTGGAACACAGGAAGAAGAGGGTGGGAGAATGGAGATAATTTAGCTTTAAAAAACAGACAAATAATTTCTTTACAACAATATTTAACAATACAACATATATAATCTCTGTCTTTTAGTTCCAGTGTGTCATTGTAGAAAAATCAGACCATTGTTTATAGCTGCTTGAACTATGCCCAATCAAATTCATCAGGATATGAAGAATTGTTTACATATTTAGAAATGAATCGTATTATTATGTCGTAAAATAACATACATTTGATGTTTGGTACACTAATATTCAAAATGCTAGGAGGAGAAAATAACTAGGGCTTCTACTCACAATTACTTTCATTGTCAATTATTCTGCACATTATTTTCTTCATTGATCGTTTGGAATTTAAATTGTCAACATTTGTTATCCTAGTTCCTCAAAATCCCCAAAAATATATCACGCCTTTTCAGTCCAGAATGCTACGATTTTGGGTTTAATTTGATAAAAAGCTTGGATTGGTATGCAAGAAAGTGTCCTTTCAACTCAACTCCGATGACATCATCAAACATTGATATTTTCTTCCTTTTGAATAGAGCTGACTTCCACTTTAAATGTCCAAATATTAAGCAATTATTACTGTGTTATGATGTAATTGAATCTTCCCTAAATGTCTCAACAACTGTAAAGTGAAACCACATGACATTTGACATGGACCTAGTCAGGCTCATTCTGAACAGGAATCCTTTAAAATGTTCTTATAAAGAGGAAATAATACATGTTTTAAGTCCATAGACTGTCACATCAATTATGGTCATGTGTCGAGGTGGCATTGATCCATGCTCGCTGTGTGTGTGTGTGTGTGTGTGTGTGTGTGTGTGTGTGTGTGTGTGTGTGTGTGTGGGTGTGTGTGTGAGAGAGAGAGGGAGTGTGTATGTGTGTGGAGATAGGTGTGTGTGTGTGTGTGTGTGTGTGTGTGTGTGTGTGTGTGTGTGTGTGTGTGTGTGTTTGTTTGTTTGTTTGTTTACACCACTCAGCTCTGACCCACTATCATGTCACTGACCCAAATCCTGCATCCTGGCTAATGTGTACATAACATTAAAGCCTGCATGGTTAATGTGAAATGACAGATCATTTCGTAAACAATCCAAGGGTTGTTAAAATCTTGCTGTCTCCATTTCACAACATTGCGTAAGTGGAAGGGATGCTGCTGCTAAAAAGGCCAATGTTTATCCACCTAATTTGGATAATAATGACAAACATAGACATTTAAAGTAAGAATATAACGATGCTACAGTAAAATAAACTGCAATATGTTTATTTATGCTTTCGTTTCACTGTATAACGAGATAAGGCAGCTGCATATTAGCATGGTGTCAACTACACTAGCTACAAATGAGCCTCACTGTGCTGCAGGTCTAGATATTACACGTAGTTCAGCTGTAAACAAACACAGTGTCCAGACAATAAAAGGGCTTTAAAGACAACACTCAGCTCGCTTTTAGTGCAGGCTTACAGGCTTAGCATGCTAGAAATAGCAAATTAACAAGAAGTTAAAAACACACCAACCTTAGCTTCCTCTCATTAACAGTCAAATGGAGCCGGTGAAGTGTCCCCGCTGTTCATACGGTGAGAGTTGATGAATAAACAGCTGTTTTTATCATAATGTGTGGTCGGTAGCTTCAGATTTTCACATCATATTTCTCTCCTACGTGAAACCGGAAGAGTCGCTGTCTCTCGATTCCTATTGGCTGTTTGCGGGGCAGGTGTTTGTGGCGTTAACGTCCAGCAGGGGGCGCTACTGCCTCATACACTGAATTGACTAATGTGTATATCAAGTAAATACTGTACTTTGACTTGAGTATTAATGATTGTAATAATTAAAAGTACTTAATACTTGTTTTTACTCTAACCCTTTCATCTGGTAACGTGAATTGTACATACAAAGTCACGATCAGACACTAGCAGGAACAGGGTAATTCTTGTACTGCTGCTTATTTTAGAGAAATAATAAATCACACCGAATACACTTACGTCAAACCAATAATAATGGCCTTGTTATTATCTTCTTCTGGGGAAAAGGGCTGGTTAAAAGGTTTATGATTAAAGAATACTGAATTCAACATTTGAACTAAACAAAGTATTTAGTAAAGTATTGACGATTAGGTTGATTCCCTGCAGAACAAATGAGACAGGATCGATCCCATTAAACTCAATGGAAAAATAAACCCATTAGCCTCCTCTCTAACGGTCTGTGCTTCAGGTCCAAATTACGATAAAAATAAAGATTTATTTTGGTGTCAAGTATGAGTGCAGTAAGTGCTCTGTAAGTGTTCTTGTTAAGAATGTGCACCGTCGGATGCAGCTTGTTAAAAGTGACATGTGGAGAAAAGCTCAAATTTAGCAGCCTAACAACAACAACAACAACAACAACAACATAAAACAGTCACCTGACTGATGACCCAATCCTTTTCAACTATGATTTGCATTTCTGTTTCGGTTAGACTTGTTTTTCTTATTTTTTTAGGAGTGTGCAAGTTCTCTTTGGATCCTTACTTTTTGTAATGTAACATCACTCTAAAACAGGGGTGTCAAACTCAATTGAATCGCGGGCCACATCAGCATTATGGCTGCACTCAAAGGGCCGGTTGTAACTTTAAGACTATACTGAGACTGCCAAGGCACACNACAATGCTTTGCGCACGGACCAATTTCCAAATCTTTGGCGGAAATCGCACCTAACAGGTGTGCAGGTGTGCGTCATATGCGAGGCCCCGCCTTAAATGGAGTGCGATTTCCGCCAAAGATTTGGAAATTGGTCCGTGCGCAAAGCATTGTGGGGATTTTAAGACCGCGGAGTCTACACATGTGCAGCCTCGAAATTTCTCGCTACGAAGTACGCCGGCCTCGGTAGAATTCCAAGTATGCTGGAGATTGGAACAGTACTTCGGCGGCACTCGATGACGTAGTATGCTTGAAATAGTGGGTCTGGAGCATCCTTCCTCGACATTGAGAAACACCCCCGAAACCCAACAGGAAGTCAGCCATTTTGAATTGTGTGTGTTATTTTTTTATGTATAACTAAACACAAACTCCTTCAACAGTTTTAATTTAGATAGACTTCACATTTTGTCACTTTTACTAAGTGATGAAGACTTTAATGCATCAACAATTATAATATAATAATGTTAAATATACTGTGTGGTACTTAAACGTGCCATTTTGCATTTTACTTTTGGTTCTAATTGGTTCTATATTTTAATGCTAATACTTTGGTACTTTTGCTCATAATTTTGAATGCAGGACTTTTACTTATAACTGGGTATTTTTACACTGTAGTTTTCCTACTTTATTTGGGTACTTCTTGCACCCCTGGTCAATCTCTATCTCCTCCAGTCAGTCTAGTAACAGTATGGTTAATATTCTAGTGCTCTTTCCATTCCTTCCTATAATGCTTATTTAGTAGATGAGGAGAAGTACTGACCCTGAGATGAAGAGGCGTCTCTCTTGGCTCGAGGTTTCAGATCTAGTTGATTATTTTCCGGCGCGAGGCGTTCGAGGTGCTGGAAGATGTTCTCCTCGGGGTGAGACAGGGTCCTCAGAAGATCCTCACACTCTCTAGATGTCAACATCTCCACTAACCTCTGCAGCTGATGGACACCGATGTCCTCCGCCACTGATAACACATTACAAACAAGTGATATAATAACTCTAGGATCAGTTGAGCCCACAGGACAGAGGCTTGTGTGAACTGTCACAAGAAGGCATGACCATCAGTAAACTGTGAAATGCAGTTAATGGAGCTGACACTTCACAACGCTCCGCAGCATGCTTTCAATTAGCAAGTGTGTGGCGTGAAGCTGTCATGTTCATCTGCTCAGAATAGAAACTGAAATATCACAAACAGAGGAATCAGCGTTTCTGTGTGCTGATGCAACAGGACAGGCTCGGGAAGTAATGGATTACATGCAACGGGTAATCATAGAAAAAAGATAACCCCTTATACGACCAGGATTACAGTGTCAGTACAAACCTAAAAATATCATAATAGTGTTTGTTGTAAATGTTCTCTCTTCTCTGGAAACTGTACTGTTCTGTAGGTTAATACTTTAATCTATACCTGGATCTGCTTTGTGGGGTCTTATTTATTTTTAACATGTGGCCCAAATTCTCTTCTTTTCAAAATTCTGACTTATTTTTGAAATCTCACTTTTTTCAAATTCCTGACTTTTTCATTATTTTAACATATTTTTCAAAATTCTCAATGTTTTCTTTACAAAGATCTCACTTTTTGGAAATAATTCGGATTCACATTTTTTTTTTGTGTGGGAAATTTTTACCAAATTTCGATTCTCTTCATCGATTCAAATTTCCGACTATTTTTTGTAATATCTAATTTCCCTCCCCCAAAAAATGTCATATCTTTCCCCAAAAATCTCACTTTTTTCTTATTCCTGACTTTTCACATAATTCTCACTTTTGTTTTGCAAAAATCTCACATTTTGGAAAAAGTCTGACTTTTAAAATATTCATTCTTTTCTTTTCAAACTCCCATTTTTTTAAATTTTATTCTCACTTTTCCCCCCAAAATCTCCCTTATTTCAAATTCCTGACATACTACATAATTATTTTGCAAAATTCTCAGTTTGTTTTTCTAATGCTGCGTTCATACCGGACGCGATGCAATGTTTGGGGGCGGCGCGATTACATGTAAAGTCAAAGCAGAGACGCGGACAGACGCAAATTCTCTCCGATGGCGCGCATGAAGCGGTTGATGTGAATGCCGCTGCGCGATTGAAGAGGTTCGCGACTACCGCTCGAGTTCAATTTTTTTAACTCCAGCGTCAAATTCGCATGACGCAATCTCGCGGTAACCAATCAGCGGTGAGGATCTCCGCCTGCCGCCACTCAGGTTGAAACAGAAAACCAAAACATCAGCCGTTAGCTGTTAGCACTCAGAGCTCCTCATATCCGTTCAGAAACTATAGACTAAAGTTAAACAAGTACAAACCACAGACTGTCTGTGTCATGGAGAATACAGTCACTGGTTTATTTCTGTCTGTAGGCCGTTGTTGTGAGTGTGGACGGTCGGAGCATATACTGCGTTAGCTTAGCTGATCAGGCTAACACAAACACGCATTTTAAATGGTGTTCGCCTGCCGTCTGTCTGCAGACTTGTTAAAGCATTAATTCATGGTTTTTACTGACCGGCATCATTTTGAAACATGTATTACAATTAAATCACGGTAAAATATGTTCATTTCGTTGTAGTTGTAGCCCCCGCCAGCACGTCTTGTTTGAATGATGCGAGTAAACACAGCTGACAGCCGCGGTGAAAGTGGAGCGTTTAGAGCAGGGGTCTCCAACCTTTGTTCATCTGAGAGCTACTTTGAAAGAATGAAAGTGGCCAAGAGCTACTTGCATCACATCGCTTACATGTATTCACATAGCCCTCATCAGTTGAATTAAGCTATACTTTTGTACACGTGTGAAATTGCAATACCTAAAGCTTATCAAAAATGTTAACTTCACATCAAGGTCAACGAAAATGTCTCACATATTATTATGGCCCACATATTAAGAACATCACTGACAATTCACATAAATGTCCTTAATCACCACCTTAGAAGCATTTCACTCTCTTTCACAGTTAGTGAGATGAATGGCGCTGCATGGAGTCCATCATGGAGGTGTATGCTGGAGTGGACCCACTTAGGTTCACTCTAATAGTCATTTAAATGTTCATCACTCAGCCTGGCTCTGTATTTAGATTGCATGACATTCATGTCAGAAAAAGCGGCTTCACAAAGGTTTGTAGAACAGAAGCAAATAAAGCAGACATGTTCAGTGCTGCCTGGTGGATGTTCTTATATTTTTCTGGGTCTACAAGGCTCCAGAAATGTTGTGAGTTTTGCTGAGACTTAAGCTGAACATTATTTTGGAGATTTATAACCTCTATCTCCATCTCCACAGGATTGACTGAACAGTTCAGCCATCTTTTTCTTCTTATTTTTCTTCGTCTTGACATTAAATTATAAACCATAATAAATNGTGTGCCTTGGCAGTCTCAGGTAAATCTGATTTTGTCAGAAATCGGGAGAAATGCGGGAGAAATATGACCCCGGGAGGAAACCGGGAGAGGGCAATGAAATCGGGAGTCTCCCGCGAAAATCGGGAGGGTTGGTAAGTATGATGATGCTCGCAATACGGCGGTCTTTGTTATGATCGACTCGGTTTTTGGAGACAGCCTCAAGTGGCCATTTGCGGAATTGCAGTGTTGTAGCACTTCTGCGTTAGCTCTGTACTTACAATACATCTTGTTTTAAAAATGTTAAGTGATTAGTTTATTAAGGGAAAGTGCACATTACCAAACATTTCTGCACATGTGCCAGGGTTAGGCAAAAGTGTTTATCTGCATTCTCTGGACAGATGTTGTAATGTCACCCTAACAACAAATTACATTTAAGATAACAAGTTTATCTAATCATTAGAAACATGCAATATAGAGGCTTACAATGTACTGCTGGCATGGGAAGCTCTCTGTTGCTCTCCTTGTAAACACTCCTTTAATTTCACATTGTATCAGCATCCCCCCGACAATTACTGCAGTGTCATGTTGTGGTGAGTGTCTCCTCTACGATTCAACAGAATACAACTGGAGTCATTGTCCCCTGTTATTTCATGAACAACGCAGCCATTATTCTGCGGGTGAA